GGGGGGGGGGGGGGGCAGGTTTTAGCTTTCGAGCGAGATAACTCATCAACGATTGGTGAAGGATTGACCACTCAGTTATCCAAGTTACGTAAAAGACACATTTTGAAGCTTTTCCCTGCCACATGAGGGCACACTTTGAGTCCCAAACTTTCTGTCTGAAGCAAATGCTGGAAGTCCAAGATGGTATCGTTAGCTCATATACGCCACAAGCGGGCTTGGATGAGGAGGTTAAAAGGCGCTTCTGGGAGGGGTTGGATGAGATAGTGCTTAGTATTCCGCCTGCATAGAGGTTATTTATCAGAGTGGATTTCAATGATCATATTGGGTCGACTACTGGTGGCTATGGTGAGGTGCATGGAGGCTTCGACTTTGGGGATAGGAACGGAGGAGGTACTTCGTTGTTGGATTTTGCTAAGGTATTTGAGATGGTGATTGCGAACTCTAGCTTCTCGAAGAGGGAGGAGTATTTGGTCACTTTCCAAAGTGCGGTGGCGAAGACTCAGATTGATTATCTTCTTCTCGGGAGGTATGATAGAGGGTTGTGCAAGGATTGCAAGGTTATCCCGGGTGAGTCACTCGCGACGCAACATAGGCTCTTGGTGATGGACGTTAGTATCATGATTAAGAGTAAGAAGAGGTCTGTATGAGGACGGCCGAGGATTAGGTGGGGAGCCTTGACTATAGATAAAGCTCAGGAGTTGGAGGGAAGGTTATCGGTTATTGGAGCCTGGAGGAGTTGCGTCCAGGTTATCGGTTATTGGAGCCTGGAGGAGTGGCGGGGACGCAAGCGCTATGTGGACGATGACGGCGAGGCAGCGAGAGAGGTGTTAGGGGTCTTGAAGGGTTTCTCTGGCGGGCATAAAGGTGACTGGTAGTGGAATGAAGTGGTCCAAGGAAAAGTGTAAGCGAAAAAGGCGGTGTACCTAAAGTTAGTAGTAGCACATGCGAGGAGGAAATGGGAGCGAACATGGAGAGGTATAATGTAGCTAGGAAGGAGGCAAAGCTGGCAGTCACAGAGGCTAAGACTGCAGCGTTTGGTCATCTATACGAGGAACTGGGGAACAAAGGCAGAGAAAAGAAGTTATTCCGGCTGGCCAAGGCTAGAGAGAGGATGACTCAAGATCTGGACCAAGTGAGGCGCATCAAAGACGAGGATGGTAGAGTTTTGATGGAAGAGGCTCAGATTAAGCGGATATGGCAGACATACTTTCATAAACTTCTGAATGAATAGGGGGACCAGGATATTACGCTAGGTGAATTGGGGCATTCTGAGGGTCACCGAGACTTTGGGTACTGTAGGCGCATTAAGGTTGAGGAGGTAGTGGGGGCTATGCGTAAGATGAGTAAGGGAAGAGCTACCGTGCCAGACAAAATTCCGGTAGAATTCTGGAAGTATATGGGTAGAGCAAGCTTGGAGTGGCTGACGGGGCTATTTAGTGTTATTTTTAGGACGAAGAAGATGCCGGATGAGTGAAGGTGGAGTACGGTGGTACCATTGTACAAGAACAAATGTGATATCCAGAGTTGCAACAACTAGGGGTATCAAGTTACTAAGCCATACTATGAAAATGTGGGAGAGGGTGGTGGAAGTGATGGTGAGGAAAACGGTGTCTATATCCGACAACCAATTCGGGTTCATGCCGGTTCGTTCGACTACGGAAGCGATCCACCTTATTAGGAGGTTTGTTGAACAGTATAGGGACAAAAAGAAGGATCTGCACATGGTGTTTATTGACCTAGAGAAAGCGTATGACAAGGTCCCTAATGAGGTTCTTTGGATATGCCTGGAAGCAAAAGGTGTGTCGGTTGCCTACGTTAGGAGCTAAGACTCGGGTTAGGAATGTGGGAGGCGACTCCGAGCACTTCCCGGTTATTATGGGTTTACACCAAGGATCTACGCTCAGCCGGTTCTTATTTGCTCTGGTAATGGACGCACTGACACGACAAATCCAAGGGGAGGTGCCATGGTGTATATTGTTTGTTGATGATATAGTTATGATTGATGAGACGCGACGCGGCATTCACGGGAGGCTGGAGGTTTGGAGACAGGCCCTTGAGCCTAAGGGTTTCAAGTTGAGCAGGACTAAGACAGAATACCTGGAGTGCAAATTCGGTGTTGAGTCGAGAGAAGCAGGCTTGGACGTTGATGTCGCCCAAACTCACACCACAAATATAGGTAGTGAGGCGGTCGAAGCAATAATAAAACCCAACGCAAGTCGGGGTCGAATCCGCATGGAGATAGAAATGGGATTAGGTATATATTTAGTGTAATTGTACAATATGCCTTAGATTACACTTCCACATTCTTGTTTGTTGTTTCTACTTCTACTTTAAACTATTGATTGCAATTATAAAACTAGAAGACACTATTTTTTTTTATTTTAGTTGTTTTCCAAATGATAAAAGATCTAGGATCGTGACTTCCACCTAGGTGGTTACCTAATGGGTTGAATACTCTAGGACAAGCCTGTTTGGTCGGGGTTGTGATATAGCAATCACACGCAATCACCCACTCTATATCTCTCAGTAGTTTGAGTGGTTTTGCCGAATTTGGCTTTCTTAAGCCCCAAGTGGGTATTGCACAAAATAAGTGATAAATGCTCAAGTCGGGTCTTACTATCTCTAGATTCAACCCTTTAATTGGGGCTATCAATTTCTTGAGTTCACCCCAATTTTTTGTTAGCTATGTTTTTCTAGACTTAGTCTCTCTTTCTCAAGTAGAGACCAAGTCAATTTGGCATGAATCAATGTTTGCAACCATTAATTCTTAAATTCAAGCAAGAACTAGGATAAATATCACTAACCCAATCACAAACAAGTCCTAAAACAAACACCCATAAAGTACCCACACTAGGGTTGGACCACAACCCTAGCTAAAAATTTAGCTACTCATGAAAAATGAAGAAATACAAGAAGAAATTAAGATAGAATGCATAATAATTGATTGGGGGGAAAAATCTAATGTTTAGAAGCTAATCTAGTACAATATTACTCAGAGCAGTAAAGAAAAATGGCTCAGGTGCTCTCCCAAAATAAAACTTACCCTAAAAATGACAAAACGTTCTATTTATACTAAGCTGACAATATCTGACAAAAATGCCCCTGCGGAGGTTGTGCGGCCGCATAATTATGTGTGCGTTCCGCACAACAAGACTTGGCTTGACAGGTTCCAGTTCTGCGGCTGCAGAATTCTGGATTACGACTGCACTCCTTCAACTACTGTGAACCGCACATTTGTGAGTGCGGCCACACTCTTGATTCTGACACTCCTTGATCTTAGGCTCTGCCTGTGTGAGACTTCTGCGGACAACATAAAAATGAGTGCGACCGCGCTCTTAATTATGCGGCCGCATAAAAATGGTGCGGTCCGTATTTCTTTTTTAACTTGAAATCCCATCTCTCTGATCTTTGTCTTCTGCGAACCACACAATATTGAGTGCAGCCACACATAACATTCTGCGGGCGTACAATTATGGTGCGGTCCGCACTCCTTCAACTTGCCCAAAACCAACTCTCTGAATCTCCTCTTATGGAGCCGCACAATATTTGTGCAGTGCGCATACTATGAAGAAGAATTGACATGGCTCTTCTCTTGTTTTGCAGTCGTACACAGTATTGTGCGGTCCGCACTATGGGCCTTTTGCCTTGTTTTGGTTCTTATCCACTTTTGATTCCTTTATGAGTTGATTTTGACTCATTTGGCTCGTTTTCCAATGTTCCTGTACAAAAGCACATTTCATTAGTTTTCGGGATTACCTTTAAGCATTTTTGAGCTAAAATGCAAGTAAAAGAGAGCAAATAAGCGGTTAAAATCCCTACTTATCAACTCCCCCAAACTTAAACTTTTGCTTGTCCTCAAGCAATTAAGGCAATTCTCACCTCTACTAAAAAAAGGGATATTTCAGCTGGCTTAAGACGAATCAATCACACATCAATTGGGACCAACAATTACCCATAACACATATGAATTATCAACAACACAATGATTTGACTTTTTGAGTACCATAGTTCTAATGCGACACTAGAGTATCAAGAGTTGACTCGATTCATCAAGGAAGCTCGCTCTTTCACGTATGTCATTTTGGATCCCAAACTCCTCCTCCTCCACTCTCTATTAGCAAATTTCACTTTAGAATGTAACACTCGAATCAAGGATTGTAAAAAATGTGTTCATGTCTCTCAAAAGAATGTCACAAGTCCGGCTCTAAGTACCATAAGCTTGTCCCTCACGTAAATCACCACTAATGTAAGCTCACTCAACCTGAAATCATGAAAGGCTTTTGTGGGATGTAATGAAGGCTTTTGGACCAAGGTAGGACTTGTTTGAATATAATGGTTTCATCTTTTCTCAAGCACTCCATTTTCTCTTTTCGGCTCATACTTTTTCGACTCTTTGAGTCATTTTATTTTTCCTCGAGGGAACTAGAGAGACGTAACGTCACTCTTTCTTGATCATGACATTCATTTTTCTCCTTTTCTGTTTACTCCATGCCTTTCATCCTTGCTTTTCTTTGAATCCCTTCAACTATTTACTCTATTCACTTTCTTTTTGGCATTTTTTTTATTCTTTCTTTCTTTTCTTTGCCTTTCCTTTTCTTCCTTTCTTTCTCTTCTTTATACCTTTTTTTTATCACTTTCAAACTCCTCGTCTCTCCCCCAAACTTATGTTTTTGCCAATTGTTTCTCAAGAATGCTAAGGAAAGATTGGGTGCCAAGAGAGGGTCATTACAAAACGGATAAAGGCATGTAACATGGTTATTGAAAGAAAAAAGGCTTAGGCTCAAATAGGTTGACCAGGGATATCACATCAGTAGGCTATGGAAGATTTCAAACTTCAAATCCGATCAAGGAGAGCCTACAATCATTTCTCAAGCCAAGCTACACTTAGAATTTCACCTAGAAAAATATTCGGGGCAAGTTCTAGACTATTAGCACGGGTACTTGGACCTGCAATTCAATACCTCCCCTTTCATGCTGCTGGATTGATAAAGAGACCGAAGTCGAGGGCCCACAATAACCCTAGTTAAGATTGAGAATCACAAATGGCTCGACTGAACCACTTGATGACTGTTTAAGTCAACACAATTGTCAAAAGATCAAAACTAGAGCTATTTTACGCCAGCAACTTTATTTTTAACCATAAAGTTGGAGGTAAATATGTTGGTACCAAGTGAAGCATGCTTGAGACCCTTTTATTCATTACTACTATATTTACCTAAACATAAAAGAAAACGGACTCAATCCCTTAAGAAGGTTGTCACGCCATCCATCGTTGGGAAGAGCCACCCGGTTCACACAAAATCCACCTTTGGAAAGAACCGTGGCATTAAGAAAACCAAAGGCTTATTGTTCACTCAAACGTAAAACGTTATACTAAAATAAAAAAAAATTACTAAAATAAATAAGAAGTTATACTACTAAGAAAAATAAACTAAAGAAGCTAAACTACAGAAAGTAAGGCAAACGAATATACAAATCGAGGGGAAAATGAATATAAACATCAAGGGAAAGGGGAGAATATATACATAACAAAAGAGAAAATAAAGATAAAATAAAAATAGTATAAAAGTTATTACAGACCAAATGTCAATGTCAAATTAATCATAATAGACCACTCCCCCCCGAATAAAAATGAGAATTGTCCCCAATGCTTATCAAAAATAAGAACAAGAAGGGGTAGAGAGTTAAGAGAACTCCTTATGTGGTCTAAGTTTGCATGGCATCCTCAGCACCCTCGGTCTCCTCTAGATGTATCTCATTATCACCTGGCTGAGGGACAACAGGGTTGCTGAGCATCTGGATCATCTTCTCATAGGTGTGGGCAGTCGCAACCGACTCCTCAGACTGGCCGACTGCTATATGTGATGCCTCTGGTACTGCTGGTGCTGACGGTGCTCCCTCTATAAGTAGGTCCAGTAGTAGATCTCCGGCTGATGCAAGCTTGGTAACTGATGTTGTCAACTTATCCACCGACTTCTTCGAAGATCGAGACTTCCTCATTTTCTTTACCTGCTTGCCCAAATCCTCAATGAAATCCCCATGTGCCACCAGAGTCTCCATAATGGTCTTCTGGTTTTCCAGAATCTTCTTCAATATCTCCTCCACTGACGGAGGTACCTGTGGTGCAGCCTGGGCAGAAAACTATGCTGCAACAGCACTAGATATGTCAGACAGCTTTGAAGTAGCTGCCTGCATCCAGTTGTTGAGACTCGCCAATCTATGGGAGACTCGCAGCGCAGTCAGTAGATAAGTAGATGAAGCTGGCACTGATAATGTAGCTGATGGTCTAGAAGAAGAAGATGGTGGCATGTCTGCTGTCTCAGTGGAAGGTCCGGCTGCTGTGGAAGGCATAGCATCTGCGGAAGGCTCAGCAGCTGAATCAGTAACTACTACCGTTGGCTCCTCAGACTGGCTAGCGGAGGTAGTTGCCTTACCCTTGAACTTCGAGTTGTCAGAATCCTTTAGGTGGTACCA